CCCCCCCCCCCCCCCCCCCCCCCCCCGGCCGAGCACGGCTGAGACGTTGTCCTCACTTCGAACCCAAGCTTGATCACACCAAAGCTCTTGAAAGAGATTGCTCAAAGGTATAATGGTACCGGATTAAAGTTCACTTTAAGCAGAAAAAAATATTAAAAATGTCACATGACTTCACCTTTCTGCCTCCTGGTATATGGTAGGTAACAGGCAAAGAAAGTACTAAATACTGGTGATATCGTGCAAGGCGCCTACATGCAAATGTTTCAAGGTGTGATAGAAGCAACAATAGCACGTGGATGATGGCATGAAGCCGTGGGTGGCCGTAGTACGAGAGGGGTAATAGCGTGAGATGGTTATTTCACTGACGGAGGGAGTAAACAAAAAGCAGCCTTTTCTGGGAGCTTAAGGATAGTGCACTGTAGCACGCGCACTTAAATTCAATGCTAATTTTCGCTTTTTCTTAAAGAAATATGCCTATACCCATAGCCTGCAGGCACGTAAGGATTTAATCAGCTCCAAATCCAGTTTTTAGCTCCAGGTACCAAAAACATTGCATGGATCGGCCGGTGCAGTGGAAATTTCGCCGAGTGATTTTTTGCAGCCCTATTTTTGGACACCCCACGTGCTAGCTTTGTATGTGATCCTACCGATTTGAAAGAGTTTCAATAAAAAATTGGTAAATAGGCCCTTTGGCATAAACATGTGTGAATAATACATTTTTTCCCGCAAAACGGTTCCTAGGATAATGGTAATGTTTCCCTTTCCGAGGATGGAGAGGAGCACGTCTCCCTCCACCGCCCCCCCCCCCCCCTCCGCTTCGGTGGAGCCTTCCCTGTTTGTAGCCGACCCCTTGACCAAATCTTGGATCAGCCACTGCTTTGCGCCGTCTGGACAAGACATTGTCGCTTACATCTGTTATATTCCACAGACCACAATTCATTGAATTTCCAACACAGCTTTGTGAAAACTAGCTCGTTTAATGCAAAACCTTCATTTTCCTTCTTAACAAAGAGCTAACACATGCAATAACCCTTGCAAAGTGCTCGCGCCAGCACCTTCTTGGTGAAAGAAACACATGCGTTTTCCCAATGGACTCGCGGCACATGTCGACAGGCATTCTCCAAAGCGCGTTAAAGCTGGTGCTGATTTCGATGCATCTGTCTGCTGAAAAGTTTGGGTGAAATGCTACAGCTTCCCCGTAGTCGTCGAAGACAATGTTCTGTCTTGTCTTAGATTGCACACATATGAGCTCGCATGAACAAACTGTATGCAACGTGAATAGCCGCGTCTTGATGCGCGTGATATCCTAAAACGCTTCAATGCTGTTTCGAAACATGATCTATGAGTGTCCATGTTCAAAATTGTTTGAACCTACTTTATCACTTTGGAAATAACGTGTTGTAGATGTAGAGAGCGGTGGCTGCATGGTTTATGAACAGAGAGCTGTATTGCTGCCAAGTGCGGCTATGGCCGTATTTGGCATCTGCAGCTGGAACTCATTCTTATTTGTAAGCTGTTCAGTGCATTACTGAGGAGCATTATTTACATAGATCATAGATAAGACAGTAACATTAGTCTTATTCTTCGGGGTAAACCCCGGAAAATGGTGATATAGTTGGGTTGATATTTCGGCAGCATGCCTTTATCGAACCAATAGCAGAAGTGAATTCAAAACTGCCTGCCGATAATCCTACTCGATTTTTCAGTTTTTGTTTTAAAGCAAGCCACAGTTTTTACGGGACACCAACATCCAGGGGATTAAAAAAGAGCGATTGCCAGCCATTACCACGATACAGTGCCTACCTAAGTATTACGATGCGCGAACATACGCGTACATGCAAAGGAATTCAAGCAAATAGGCAGCACGCATCAAGCTTCATTCAAACATGCAAGCGAGTTGATGTGAACAGACATGACACATCGCGCATCACTTATGTATGCAAACGAACTCAATTGAACAGGCATGGTACATCACGCGTCAGATATCACTTGCACATGTAAACGATTTTAAGCCAGCACAAATCACACATAAAGGCACATATCACGTTCGCATAATCGGCCATGATGAGCCCTGCATGTTAAGATTTGGCCGCCGACTTTTTATAAGGATAGATTCGCCTATTTCCCTGTCTGGGTGGTCCTGTGCTAAACAGGAAACCAAACGGGAGATAGGCGAATCTCTTCTTGTAAAAAGTCGGCGACCAAATCTAAACACGCATGGCTCATCATGGCCATTTATACGAGCGTGATACGTGCCTTTATGTGTGATGTGTGCTAGCTTAAAATCGTTTAAATGCGATGTGTGATATCTGTTTACATCAATTCGCTTGTATGCTTGAATGAAACGCGATGCGTGATGCCTATTTGCTTGAATTTCTTTGAATGTGCACGCATGTTCGGGCATTCTAATTCTTAGGTGGCACCGTATCGTGGTAATGGCTGGCAATAGCTCCTTTTTTAATCCCATGAAAGTTGGTGTCCCGTAAAAGCTGTGGCTTGCCTTAGAAAAAAAAACTGAAAAATGGAGTAGGATCCTCGGCAGACAATTTTGAATTCACTTCTGCTATTGTTTCGATAAAGGCATGCTGCCGAAATATCAACCCAACTATATCTCCATTCTCCTGGTTTTTCTCTTAGGAATAAGGCTAATACTACTGTCTTATCATCCTTATTTGCATCAAGCGCATGAGGCAGACGTGACTGGCACCGCTCAGGAGCGCCCAGAGCAGAAGCACGGGACAGCGGCCGCGGCGGGGCTGACCGGTCGGCCCGGCAGATGTCACGAGGGGTGATAGATAGCACCGTCTCTGTCCTAAATGCATTCTTAACGACCTTGGCCGCGATGTCCTGTACTAGTTTTTTTTTGCGCGGAGACCCGTCGGACAGCGGCCGACCGGGTTATGTCACGAAAAAATACGTGCCGTTCGCCCCTGTCCTTTCGTACTTATGAGCGCAGCTGGGGCCGGTGGGTGGGGGAAAGGGCGGGGCACGCGCACCGCTGCTGGTACGCGCGTCTTCTTTTTGCGGGACGTCGGAGCGCGCTACTGTAATACGCAACTGCCGGTAGATAAAAATTTGGCTTCGAACGTTCGCTGCTGGGCAACCTGGATTGGAAGTGAGAAGGCTAGAGGCGCCTGGATCTCTACAGCACTGAAAAAATGAGGCAGTGACCACAAGTGTTAAGCTTTGAGAGCCCTAGATGAACAATTAAAAAGGATCTGCTTGCTGTTGGGGTGTTTGGACTCTTTTAGAGGCAATAGAGGCGCAAGCAGTGCTCCCCGACTGGTGCCCACACCCGTCTTGCTTGCAGCTGTACAAAATCGCATTTCCAGACAACTGATACATACGACCATTTGCGCAGCCACTGTGCACGTTTGCCTTGGCCTGCTTCTGAAGTAGTCCTACTTTTCACGAGGGCAGTAACTGCAGACTGGACCACGGGACCGGGAAAGGGCGGACACGTTTTTGGTGGCCAGGTGGATGTTACAGCCGCGGTTGTCTTTTGTCAATGACTGGACTGGCTGGGGGGGTCCCCGGGGTGGGGATGGTCCGTGGAGCAGCGCCAGACCCATGCCGAAGGAGCCTGCGCCTGAATATGACGATCAGTGATCAGGAATCTGTACTGCATCTTGTCTCATAGTAATTTAGGAGTTAGAATGATGATAACAGCAAGGCCATGTTTCCAAGTCAGCATGCATAGATCTGTGCCCGCAGTAAGGCGGGTTCGGTCGTGTAACGGTGACCAAATAGCGCTTCACAGTGGCCTATAATCGTATATATGGTCAGCTTATATATATGGGTCGTTATATAGGTCATATATATATATTATATATAATATATATATATATAGATATATATATATATA